TGTACCATCCATAGGTACAGTTAAAACTGAGAATCAGAGTCTTCAGGGAATTTACCAATTTAATCAGGAAGTTAACTATGCCAGCAGTATTTCAAGAAACAAATGCTTAGAGGATCATTTCTTCTTGAAGTGTTTCTAGCAACTAAGGCTGAAAGGCAGCTGAGCATGTGGCATTAATGCTAAATTGAAAGCAGGATACAGGTTTTAAATATCTTGTGCTAAAAGATTTCACTGTCCTTGAAACTGTAAGAAAGCTTGTAGTCCTACAGTTTTGCCTTCCTGAAGGAAATGCTTCATTTGTAGGACAAGGAAAAGTTTAACAGGAAACAACCCAACAAAGATCAGAAAGTTACTCTAACTGATGAAATGCTGTGCTCACGTACTGACAAGTGCTAATGCAGAAATCTGAGAATGGCAAGGCATTATGTAAATTTAGCTCTGATCAAACAAAGAAAAACAGGATTTTATTTTTCTGATCAGCTGCTACAAATAATACTTGTTACCTTTGTTTTTTCACAAAAATTTGTTATTGCAGTCTCCGTAGTTCAAAATGCATTTTTCAAACTGTAAGGTTCATTGTAAGAATTAAGATAATGTATTATTTACAGTTATAGAAGATCTAAATGATTCCCTTAGACTTTGTGTGGATATATTTGTGGATATGTGTAATTACTTCAGTTAGTGTTTCAAGGCCAGGCTGGATGTGGCTCTGAGCACCCTGGTCTGGTGGTTGGTGACCATCTTGAAACTAGATGGTCATTGTGGTCCTTTTCAACCCAGGCCATTCTATGATTCTGTGATTAGTGTTAAACACTACAGTATTCTATAAAATACTTTAAGTTAAATGAAGATATCTATATGCTATATAAAAATATCAAACCTATATTTGGAGTAGAGAGGGTAGTTCTCAGGTTGAGGAGGAAGTGATTCAGCTCTCAAGAGTATCCACACATTCACAGAGGGAAAGCAGAAGGCTATTAAGTGACTGTAGAATTGAAGCACTGGACCATTTTGAAGTTGGGTCTGTTTAGTTGCTCATAAGAAAGTTAATTTTACTTCATTTTGCTTTGGTCTAGTCTATCCACTGATTGTGTTTAATTGTTATTAATGCACTAAATATTTTATTAATGCACTTGAATTTCTTGAGTAGGACAAAAGTCCCGTGATGTCCTTCAGAAGGCCATACTGCAAACTCTGTCCTGTTCAATCCTGCCTAAGATAGCTGCTGCCCCTCACCAAACTGAGTCTTCCCAAGGCTGAGTTTGCCTTTCAACAGATCTCACTTTGAGATAGGTCCTGGAGCTCTCATTTACTGACAGGTCCTTCGCTGTGCTGCAGGCTCCAAATATACTGTGGACATGCCTGTGACCCTTCTGTTTCTTGTGTGTACTTTCAGCCTACTTGCACATTCTCTAGAGCCCTGTACATCTCTTCCCTGCCTCCGGTCTTCTGAATCAGATGCAGACAGCTGTATCCTCCATTTTTGTATCTGAAACTGCAGAGAGAGAAGGGATGTGGAGAGCTATCTGAAATGGAAATCTGTGTGCATGCCTGTGCATGAACAGACAGATGCATGGGAAGAGCTGGCAAGATTCATGTAAAACAGTTACTTAAGAAATTTTGGTATGATGCACTTGGAGTGAATATTAGTAAGATACTGGAGGAAGTCCACAACCCCATTTTTTTTTATTTTTTTTTTCCTCTGCACAGTATGCCCTGGGAGGCTCAGGTTGTTAGAAAAGCAAGGAGCCTTTATCTGAAAATACTAAGGACTGGTGATCTTACAGAAGCGGAATGAATTCACTTAGTGACTAAGAATCAGGGTCTGAGAAGTATGTTCTGCGTTTTAAATACGCCCCCAAAGGGGGGCAGAATGAACTAATGATTTAAAAGATATGAAGTATCAATGATTTGTTAATCATGATGTTTTAAAAATTCTGAATGCCGCATATGTAATTTGCATTCAGTGTCATGAAAAAAATGACAGAAAAATGCTTTGTTTCTAAAACTCTTGACTTTCTTCAAAGGTCATAAAAATTGAATGTGATGTCTAATGTGATTTATGAAATATTTGTGTGTTTTGAATGAACATTTTTGGTGTGTGGTTTGAAAATATTATAGAAGACATTCTTTGGAATACAAAGTTGTTATTCCGTAGCATTGTAGGCCTTGTTCTTGTTCTTTACTATCATGTCAGTTCTTACAGTCTTCTTCAGCTGAAGGAGGTGGTGTGGGTGAATCTTCTCTGGTCTACATGAGGCGTTTTTACAAATGGCCTTCTGCAGCAGAAGGCTGAGGAGTGAGTAGGCTGTAATAGGCGAGCTGAATTCCGTTCTTTGAATGCTGCCTGAGATTTGACAACTGCTGGATATTACCGTGTGGGCAGGATCTGCTCAGACGACTCAAAATGAAAACATTAAAAATACCATGAGGCAGCCAGCTCCAATTCAGTATTAGCATATAAAATGCTAATTTAGTAGCGAAAATTTATGAAAGGAAATGTTCTTGCTAGAGACGTAAATCCCTAGGCTGTAAGACTCAAATTGATGCTAATGTGAGGCTTTGGGTAGTTGTGCCAAATGTAACCTGTTTTAAGCCTGCTTGGCTGTGTACCTACAGCCAGAGTAATTTTGAGCATATGAATAATTTTGTCCTCCTGTCACAAACTTCAGCAAGTATTCTTTCAGGTACTTAATTTTCTTAATGTCTGGATTATATGAGAGCTGCTCCAAAAGTAATGCCACCTATTTTATGATGTTGGCTCACAGAATCAGAGGCTGATGTTGGTGGTATGGCAGTAGAGGTTGAACATTTCCACCGGTATTCCATTACATTTTGTTACTCTGTGACAGATGGCAGCAGAGGGACAGTCTGACAAAATGGCATCAATGACTGTGAGCACAGTGAGGAGCTGGGTGTTGCGTAGCAGGCAGAGGGTCACCTCTGCTGAGACAGATTTTAAGAATGTGATATGCTGCTCTTGTTCATTGGTGGGGACAGTGCATAGCTAATGGTGGTGACTGTTGAAAAGGAGTGTTGTGTAGCTGAGAACGTGCTCTATCAAATAGTGAGATTGTGCTCTTTGCATCTGATGTAGTTTCTGTGGAAATAAATGGGAGGCATCACTTTTGGAGTGACCTACAAACTGATCTTTGTTACTGTGTGGTGTTAGTCTGAAACTACTAATTTCTCATTTTCAATATTTGCCCTGAAAATAAGAGGTTCCTTTTCATACGTTTCGTATTACTAGATGAAGTCTGTCTGGGCATGGATGCGTGCTCTGTCTGATTTTTGATGCCTGCTTCTTTGCACTGCTGATAGTTTATCTTCGCTTGCATTACGTTTTATGCCCAAGTCTGTAACCTTCTGCTTTTAAAGAGGCTACTTCTTGATGGGAGTAGGACAAGTCAGTGGCTGAAGACTTTGGTGGCTTTACTTTAATAATAACTGAGTTTTTTAGATCTATTGAGGTGGCTATCGTCCAAAAAACACTCAAATTAATGCTTTGAGGACAGTGTCTTAATAAATTGCCCTGTCATTGTTTGCTTTGGTTACTTTTTTCCAGCTTTGACCCTGAATTTTGTCAACTTATTTTTGGCCGATGTTTGTCTTCATCAGACTTCAGATTAGTCACTGATAAAGTCCCATTTATTTTTTCCACCACTTAATATAGTTTTCCTTCTTTTAAGAATATTAAAATATTTCCCTTTGTACTCTGAGAAGCTTTTCTGAAGCAGATGGTTTGCGTGTGCATCTGCTGACAAAATTCTGAATAAATACGAACTGGAAAGTTGGATGGCTTCCCACACTTAAGACGTGATTCATGTAAAAATGGCAAATGTGCTTTAAGTATTTGAATGGTTGACCTACTACTTCACTGCTTATCTTTTTTTTTTTTTTTTTTTTTTTCAGTCAGGTGGTTTGGGCTGATAAGAAGTTGACTGTAATATTTAATAGGCCGTGCAAATTCTGTTACCTGAGTTTTCATGTTTTGTTTAATGTTTACAGAAATCAACCTGACTGACCTTGAGACTAGTTGAAATACTGGTTTGTCAGCTGTATCACTTTTTCCCTGTCCACCCCTCGCATTACTTAGATTGGTTATTTAATGTTGATAGTACACAAAAAATGAATAGGTGTTCATTTATGTAAGGAAAGTTCGTACATTTTTCTCCATGTCTCATCCCTTTGCATCTTATACATGGGGTCCTAGTTTTTCCTCACTACAATGTTCGTGTTTATGCTATGGGTAGGAGCTTCCAAGTCACTGTCAGAACTGAGCCCACATTAAATTGTAGAGTATACTTTTGAACTAATTGCAACCTACCTCGTCAACACTGAAGCACAGCTATAATATAGTGTGCCTCTGATCTCTGCTGGTTACACAGTGGATGTGTTTTTCTATACTGCGTTCTTAGAAAACAAAAATTCTTTAATGTTCAGTGTAGATTTTACAGTATGTTGTTGCAGTTTTATCAATCTTTTAATTAAACGGAATGTGAAATTAGGATACTCAGTAATAAATACATTCTTTCCTCCTTCAGTGCTTGCGTCAAGTATTTTGACCATCTAAAGCATTGCCAAGCAGTAATAATGCAGAACAATTTCTTAATATCTATTGTGACAATTACCCGTACTTACACTGCAAGACTAATAATGCATGGGTTCTTTTGTAATGCTGTATTTGCATTGCTGACTGAACTGTGTCTGCTGAATGGTGAGCTTGCTTTTTTAATAACCATTTTTTTCTATAGGAAAACTTGTCAGCTTTGTGGTGTTCTTTCAGGAAACTTCCAGCATCTTTCGTGCAGACCATACTACAATTTATTTCTAATATCTTACATAAGTTAGGTTTTAAGATTAATTGAAAATACTGGGTGGTATAATTGATGAATTCCTGGTAGCAGATTATCCTTGTGCTGTTGCTGTATGTGTATTAGAGACTTACTTTGCTTTCAGATGTTTCAAGCAGGAATTGCTAAGTGTTGGTTTCTTTATAGGTTGGAAATTACAAGCGGACAGTAAAGAGAATCGATGATGGTCACAGACTTTGCAATGATCTCATGAACTGTATTCATGAACGTGCACGGATAGAGAAGGTCTATGCTCAGCAACTTACAGAATGGGCAAAGAGATGGAAACAGCTTGTGGAAAAAGGTAATACATCCTCGTTTAGAACTCTGAAACATTTCTCAAATAGTAAAAAAAAAAATTTGAATGTTCTTGGTAAGTTGAAAGTAGAAATGTTTAGCTTAAATGGAACCTTTGCAGGTGGCTCAGTAGTGTAACAAATGAGTCTTTCAAGGATCAAGCTTTCCTTGATTAAGACAAAGCAAAGCAAACCAAAAAACAAACACAAAAGACAAAAACTTAGCTCCTTTTCTAATTTGCTTTTTTCTAATGGAAGCAGGTGAATATTGCCTCCAGTGTTGATGTATCCAAATAAAGTCAGTTCTACACATTAGCTGCTTCTAGCTAAATAATGGTAGAGAACACACTGTTTGAAAAGTATGTCTGTCTAAAAAGGTGTCAGTGGTTGTTGGGGAACCAATAATAGAAAAGTAGTGTTTTAATGAAAGGCTGATCTGATAGCATTTTAGTATATTCTGAGTTAGCTTTTCTTTTCCTGGTTGTCCGTGCTTCAAAAAATATGTTGAGAAATGGAAGGCAGTTCAAACAGGAGCTAATAAGTGTAACTGGGAATTGCAGTTTAGGGAGATGCAGGCCAGACTAAATGAATATTATTTAAGTATGATGTTAACATGTTATATTCTAAAAATATCTGTATTAAAAAAAAAATCCCTTTTCTAGATTTGCATAATTATCTAGGAATTCCTATTTAGAAATGAATGTAAGTCAACAGCTTCAGGTAGTCTCTTGGGAATATAGTTCCATGTGGGTGATGGTTATTGAGAATGACACTTTCTGTTGTGTTTAGGCCCACAGTATGGAACAGTAGAAAGGGCTTGGTGTGCTTTTATGTCAGAAGCTGAAAAAGTGAGTGAACTACATCTAGAAGTAAAAGGTTCACTGATGAATGAAGACTTTGAAAAAATCAAGAACTGGCAGAAGGAAGCCTTTCATAAGCAAATGATGGGAGGATTTAAGGAAACCAAAGAAGCAGAAGATGGATTTAGGAAAGCTCAGAAACCCTGGGCAAAAAAGCTGAAAGAGGTACAGCAGTAGATTATGTATTAGATATCTTGTGTTACAATATATTAATGTCTCAAATCTCTGTAAGGGAGTAAACTCCCTATTTTCTCTGCTGGACCCTCCTTTCTCAAAAAGATCTCTTGCTTTCTGTCCTCTTCTGAGAATCAGTATTTTCTTTTGGTCTCTCTTAATCTTCATGTCTTCACTGAAAATCTGGAAAAAGTGGAATTTAAGTTATTTCAATAACACATGGTCCTCTGCACTGGAAAGTTACGTATTGTTCAAAGAAATGATCAGGGGAAAAGCATTTGCAAATTTTCTTCTTGTCCCGCAACGTTCTTAAATAACAGGTTTGTAGAAGAAGGGGAGCAGAGGAACATGGGCACAAGGAAAACTTGTTGTACTTCAGACTTCCTGTAAACCTTTCTTGAGTCTTACTTCACTTCTCCAAGCTTTTATAAGTGGTATTTGTTGTATGGTGAAATACGTTGATTTCAAAGTGCTGTAATAATTTCCTTACATTGATTATTGTGTAGTGTTCAACCCTTGGCCTAAATAAGAAGTGTACCAAAAAAAACCCCAAACCAAACGAAAAAAAATCCATCCTGAAACAAAACCATCACAATTGTTGTTTAAAGTGTCACAGATGCAGAAATTCAAATTATCTTTCTAGGTGGAAGCTGCAAAGAAAGCATATCATGCAGCCTGTAAAGAGGAGAAACTGGCTATATCTAGAGAGACAAATAGCAAAGCTGATCCAGCGTTAAATCCTGAACAACTCAAGAAATTACAAGACAAAGTGGAGAGAAGCAAACAAGATGTGCTAAAGGTATGACTAATATATACTTGCCGATATCTAAAGATTTTTTGTCCTCCTGAATGTGCTGTAGACTGCAGCACAGCTTAGTCTGTTATGGTCCTATGTCAGAATTTGGGATTTTCGACAAAGTATGTCATTGTTATGTTCTTTTGTGAAGAACAGATCATATCACCTCTATTTTATCTGAGTGCTTCGAGTAGGGAAAGAAACAGAATAATACAAGAGTTATTCATATTTGGTAGTGAGGACTGAGTTATTTCATTTGAGAGAACGTGAGATAGATGCTTAAAGCGTGCTGGCATCTAAAGTCGTCATCATTCCTGATTGCATAATGTGCACTTTTAAAAAATTATTATTTAAGGAAATGGAGCTGATGCAGTCTATTTAAATGAAGTAAATGTGTGACTTCTTTTCAAAAAAAATAATTTTCCCTTTGTGATGTTGCTGTGTGATCTGGATGGCCAACATTATCTTTGCTGGGATCTCTTAATATCTCTGAACTACTGCTGTAAGTCGATCTAGAGTCCAAAATCGTGTTAACTGAGCTCACTAGATTTATGGCTTATGTTCACAGGAATGTATGCAATTATACCTTTTTCTGTTTGTAACTCACAGTGAACTACATAAACTGCTGAAGGGGGAATGCTAACACTTGGAAATTATTTGACGATCTTTAACTAAGACCCTGTAAATTGAAAGACCACTTACTCTTATACTAAACGCCTTCTTTGTTTTTTATCTTTAAGATCACATTAACGTTTTTCATAATTTCTTTTAAGAAGCTGGAGAGGAGGCTTAGGCCTTTATTGGAATTGTTTGGTTATTTTGTTAGCTAACTCTCACCATGATCAAACAGGTACTGGTGGTAATGCAAAGAGAATGCGATTTGGTGTATTTTAGTCCAGGTCTTGCCTATTACTATACTTGTGGGTCTTGTAGGACTGTAATAAAAGTATTGCTAATTGATTTCTTTTTTATTCCTTCTATCTCAGACAAAAGAAAAGTATGAAAAATCACTGAAAGAATTAGATAATGCCACTCCTCAGTACATGGAGAACATGGAGCAGGTATTTGAACAGTGTCAGCAGTTTGAGGAAAAACGCTTACGTTTCTTTCGAGAAGTGTTGCTGGAAGTTCAAAAACACCTTGACTTGTCTAATGTTGCAAGGTAAAACTGTGCAAGACCTCAAAATTAGTGCTTAATACTTTTATTAGTGCTTTTTTGCTTCTGAGCAAAAAAATAAACCATGCTTCAAGTAGGTCGGTTTAAAATCTGACTTAATTTTAATATTTAAAATAATGACTTAATTTTAATTGCTCAATTTACTAAAAATGGAATACTTTTTTTTTTTGTCTTGTCTGGTATCTGGTTAGCATCTATCCCTAGCATTTACTAGTTATCTTCAGAGGTACTGAACGAACTGGTAAACCTTCATTGTTGAGATATGTAGATCACTCCAAAAGTAATGCCTCCTATTTATTTCCACGCAAACTGCAAGAGCTAAAAAGAGCGCAATAAAACACTGTTTGGTAGAGCAAATGCTCAGCTACAAAACACTTTTTCAACACAGTCATCACCTAGCTATGTGTTTTTGCCAGTGGTGAACAAGAGTTTGTGTGCTGTGCTCATAAAAATCTGTACCAGCAAAGGTGTACCACTGTTGCTGTCACCACTGCTGAAAGCCACCACTCACCACCACACTGTGCTCACATCTACTGTTTGGTCTCCATAAATGTTCAGCAAACATCAGTGAAAGTCAGTGGCATTTTTTCTGCATGGAGTAATTCAATGGCTCCTCTTTGCTTCATGCACGCATGTCGAACACCATTTTGTCACACTGTCCCTCTGTTGCCATTTGTCACAAAGCAACGAAATGTAAGGGACTACTGATGGGAAGGTTCAGCCTCTATTGTTATACCATTAACATCCACCTCTGATGCCCCAAATCAACACAGAATACGAGGCATTACTTCCAGAGAAGTTCTTAGAATTCTAGAGTTTGTGTGCTGTGGTCTGGTAGGGTTTCATTAAAATCCCTCTAGCTTGTCAATGGACTCATAGTTCTGCGTCACTTTTAAGACGTTGTATCTGTTGTATTAACACCTCTTCATCTAGGTTCATATTACACCATATTGATCCTTTTGTTAAAAAAGAAGGCTGTTATATTTGTAGTCAGTCTGTAGAGCAAGCATATCGTGTGTGGTTTAGGACAGGGGATCAGAATCGTATCTGCAGCGTGACGTCTGTGTAATCCTTCATCGTTAAGAGTTCGACTTAAATGAAGAAGAATTAGGCCGAAAGATGAGTAGATGCAGCAAGGTTCTTTTATATAGCACTTGATGTTTTATGTAAATAGTGTAGTTATTAAGATCACAGTATCTAAAACAGTAAAAGCTGTTAGCAGGTATAAGAAATGCACATTTTCTTGTCTTTTTAACTCATTTAACTCTGCTTCAGGTTGGAGACTTTTATTTTTCATAAGGAATTATAAGTCTAATTGGATTAAGACAGGAATTTCATAGAATTGCAGAATATCTGGAGTTGGAAGGAACCCATAAAGATCAGCAAGTGCAACTCCTGGCTCCACACAGAATGCTGTGAAATTAACACTGAAAATAGTTCCTATTATGTTGTAGGCAAACTTTTAAATTCAAGAAAGTTCAAGGTTGACATTTGGTGATTCAAATACATTCCGAATTAAGTACTACATTTACTGACAACTATTTAAGATACTTTACAAGAGAGTAGTAATCCATCTTTCAAATAAGGATGTTATTTCACTGTTTTTTACAGGCAGTTAATGGGTCTGTCCCACAGTTTTAAAGTCTGTCTCGCAGTATTTTTTCAATACTGTTTATATATATATGTAAATATATTTATATAATATAAATAAAATGAGTCTAGGGAATTTGCCATGTTTCTACATTTGTGCTGAATTTGAAGATAAATTTGTTTTGCAGTTACAAAAATATCTACCGTGAACTGGAACAGAACATAAAAACTGCAGATGCTGTTGAAGACTTGCGGTGGTTCAGAGCTAATCAAGGTCCAGGGATGTCAATGAATTGGCCTCAGTTTGAGGTAAGATCAGAGTATGGAAAGCCCACACTTGTTTTTGTTTTTTTTTCTTTTCCAGTTTCCTTTTTGACATGTTCCTTTCTGGTGAGACTCTTAGACTCAAACAACTTCTAGCAGTTAATTTTGTTATCTTAATAGTTTTTCTTTGTTTCTATTGGGTTCCCTCAGCCTCTGCTTTTGGAGGTGATTATATCAAACACCAATTTAAAGAGTAGAGAGGTAAAAGCAGACTTTTTCTTTTAAAATGAAGTCGTTACTGAAGTTGTTAGTATCTGATTCTCCCTTTTGGTGTCAGACTTAAATTGGAATTTCCTTGTTATTGAGTAGACAGCAAAGGCTGTTGAAATAGTTAAAATATTTCAAATTGATTCTGAAAATGTAGAAGTCTTTAACTAGTTATTCTGGTACCATTATATTAAAAAAAAAAAAAAAAATCCTAAAAAGTCCTACCTTGCAGCAGTTATTTTATTGCTGGATTCAGTTCTGAAAGGAAAGGGAAGCTTCTGAGGAGTGTTCTGCTAACTTAGCTTACAAGAAACATGTTCCAAATTCTGTCAGTGCAGAATCATACTAGCAGATTATCAAAAGGCTGGAATTGGAATGAATTTCTGTACAGAATCATAAGTTCAATTGAAATAATTTCTGGGCTTTCAATTAATGGAGTGGAAACTTCAGTTATTGAGTGTAAAGTAAACGTTGAATAACTTCTAATTGTAAGATTTGGGGAACAAAGCTCATATTAGTACTGCAGAATTTCTTTGCCTGAAATACTGAACTACAGTTGCTTCTGTGTGGGGAAATACCATCCATTTTCATAAACATCATAATTAATACATGAAATTCCGTTGTTACTGTTTTTCTAATCAAGTGTTTTTTCATTTGCATGCTACAAGGATGATGTAAGTAAAAAACAAAAATCATGATCAAATGAATATGAAATGTCATTATAAAGTACAAATGTACTTAGGTCAGTGGTCTTTATATTTTGGTAACTCTAAAATCCATTTGTATTTGTAAGAGGTTAAAATAAAGAGGTACCTCTGAAAAGTTGGCCAGAAATCACTCATGGCTGGCCATGCTACTTGTGTAAACAAGTAGTAATAACATCTCACAAACTCTTCATTTTCTTCTTAATGTCTCAAAGTTTATCTTTTGGATAGTAAACCATCTCCTGAATTTTCAACTTGTTTTCTGAGATGAAACTTGTCTAAGCATAGGATATTTGCTTGTGTCCAGTTTACTCTCTGTTCTCTGTTTTATATCTGTACGTGGCCTAGTTTGACTTGAAAGGTGTAACTTGTGTTTAGCTCTCACCATGCCTGTTTATCTGCCTTCTGAAACTTCTCAGTGATTCAGAACATCAAGGAGGGGATACTTAACAAATGACATCATGAGTGCTGTCAACAGTTGTGTTGATTTGAGCTCTTTTGGTTGGCTTTTAAGGACAAAATATTTGAGTGCAGTACCCTAAGGGCTCATTCACATTTTAGGGACAGGAGAAGTTATACACAATGACATGAAAAATGAGCTCCATTGTCGGTCAATCCTGCAGCACTTCTTGAGAAGTAAACTTGTATCTTAAAGTAGGCTGTAATGCTTCAAAAGGTAAACCTAAAATTTAATTTTAAAAAGCCAGATGTCTTGGCATTACTTGAAACAGTAAATGTTCTCAATACAACTTTTAACAACTTGCACTGAGCAATTCCTTTGATTTCTCCAGATGTCTGGTATTTTAAGTCTTTTCAAGGTGTGCAGAATGCTAAGCAGGGAAGTACAGGTCACTTGGGGATTTGTGAGTAGCAAAGATTTGTTTGCGTTGCTAAGATAGGAACTAGAAGAGGACCATAACCAAAACACGTAGAGTAACTTGTCTTTACAATAACTATTTGTAAGGCTGTATGAATATATGCTTCATAACACAGTCTGAAAAATTAAATGTGATAATTAGTGCTCCATTACATTTCTCAATCGCTTTTTACATTCATTGATAGGAGTGGTCTGCAGATCTGAATCGCACTCTCAGCAGAAGAGAAAAGAAGAAAGCTTCTGATGGAGTGACTCTGACCGGTATTAATCAGACAGGAGATCAAGCTTCACAGCCTAACAAACATAGCAGGTATTTATTTTTTTTTATTTTTAGTTATGGTAGTTATTTAAGGTAACAGAGACATAGGATCAATGGCCAATTAAATGTTACTTGTCTGTGAGCATTCTTAAAATAGCTTCCTGCAGCTCACAAAATATTTTGGTGATTATTTCTCCATTTTACATTTGTCTCTCCACGGTGGATTATAAGAAACTGAACTGTGTAGCTGATGGGGAGGTTGGTCTGTTGCTGTTTTTCTGTCTGTGGAAATGACAATTTTTCTTTGAAATCTTAGCTTGCAAAATGCTTAGTGACTAATCTGGATGCCATTTATACGTGGCTGTTAATAACAGCTTCCTTAGAAAGTAATGTCTGTAGTTCTGGAGGAGTGTATCATATTGTGAGACTGTCAGAACTTTCTTAGGTCTTATGCTACTCTTAATTGTTTTTGTTGTTGTTGGTTCTTTTTGTTGTTTTGTTTTTTTTTAATGGCTGGAGAAAGGGTCTTCTAAAAAATTACTTAGTGGGACACGAATGAGTGTTTTTACTCTTAAACAGATAGGGTCACCATAATGCTCTTTCTTTTCCAAATTAGCAGTCTTAGTGTCCAGAGTAACACAGTGCATTCAGTACAATCAAGTTACAATCCCTTTGAAGATGAAGAAGATACTGGGAGTACTGTCAGTGAAAAGGAGGACAATAAGATCAAAAAGTTGGTGAAATGTTGTTTTAATTGTTTTTACACTTTTTCTATCCAGGGTTTTCAATTTTCAGCTTCTGTAACGCTATGTTGGTGGGTGCATGAAGTCTGTTTGAGAGGTTTTGTAAGCTTCACTGTAAACTAACTTGTCTCTCCTAACAGATGCCGCATCTGTTGCCTTGATCTTTGGTTTGAAACTACTGGGCCTATTGGCAGTTGCTAGCTGAACTGCTGTTGTTTTTTTCCTTCCTAAACCAGTCTTTTAAAATGTGGACCTTTTTTTTTTCTAACAAGAATGCTCCTGGAGCTTTACTCCTATGTGTGTTCGTGCTGAATAAGTCTGCTTTTTTGATAGCTTTCTTTTTGTTTAGGACCTTTTCAAAACGCTGTCTGTTGCTTCATTATGCCTACCTGAGGATATCATTGTCTTAAATGACATGCACGTACTCAGCAGTGAATTCTTCTTTAAATTATCAAGTTGCCACTCTGTTGTAATGAACCCTTTTTATTGGTGGATTGCCAAGTACAAAAAGTTAAAATATATTGTATGGGGTGCACGGAGGAATGAGAGAAAGATTCTGAATGTAGTTTAAATATCTAGTTCCTCTTATGTGCTACCTTCACAGCTTTTATCTTTCTAGAGAAAGATAAAATAATCTCATAGATTCTACAGATTTCTTGTTAGAGAAATTTCTTGGAGTTCATAGGAAAGTTGTCTTTGATTTCTGTTTTTTTTTCCTTTTTCTTTTTTATTTTTTTAACTTTGAATATACTGTAAGAATGTGATTTTTTTTTTCTGAATAAGGTATTGCCAGCTAAAGGTAGATAAGATAAGCAGAGAGAAATTTTCAAAGCCAACGTTTACAGAGAAGTTTAAGCTTAACTAAGGAAACTGATATCTCAGGGATACTTCTAGCCTCTTCATGTAAGAGCAGAAAAAAGTAATTTAAAATCTGTTTTTAGCGTTAGCAGCTATGAAAAAAACCAAAGCTACCCTACAGATTGGTCTGATGAAGAGTCCAACAATCCCTTTTCTTCCACTGATGCAAATGGAGACACCAATCCATTTGATGAAGATGCTTCTCCTGCAATGGAGGTGAGAGTGCGTGCACTCTATGACTACGAGGGCCAAGAGCAAGATGAACTCAGCTTTAAAGCAGGTAAGTTTACAGTGTGCTCTTAAAGCACTTTATCAAAAGGAGAAATGGGGCAAATAAGGACTTTCACTCAGAGCATTTCCTTTATTTTCTGTAGTCACCTGTCTCTCTGAATGTACAACTCCACTTACAGGATCTTGTCTAACCCACACTCCTGGTAGTGCTTCTTGCTATCCCATGTTTGAAAGTACTGACTTGTAATCTGTTTGGAGTGTATTGGAACGTATCTGTTTGGGATATTCATTTTGTGCTAAATAAAACAGGGAGCTGCAGTTGATTACTTTTTCTCCTTTTCCTAGCTGATGACAGTAACAGCTGCTGCTTTTAGCTGTCTATAAATGCCAGCCCTACAAAGATGTTATTTAAAGGAAAAGACTAGAGCTATGCATCTTAAAACAATATCTAATCAACTGATATATTTTTTTCCTGTCTAAACTGGGAGCATCCACTTCTTAGACTCTTATTTCCTACACTGCTAAGGTGTTTTTGTTTTTTTTTTTTTTTTTTTTTTTAAGCTGGACACTTGGTCATGGATTGATAAATATTTTCTCCTTCGACACTCCTCAGCATATCTATGCACAGTAGCCCTACTGTGTTTTACTTGTTTACTTGGTTTTGTTGGCTTGCATTATATTAGGGTACACTGACTGGACATCTCCCTTCTTGAGATGTTGTATTTCCTTTGAGTCTTTTTACTTGATTGTAGGAGTTGAGAAATTTGGGCTACCAGCAGTTGTGTGCTGAGTGAGTGCCTGGGCGTCTTCCTCAGCCTTTAACAGGAGACTCCAAGTGTTTTTCATTATCTGACCAATCCAGAGGCAGCACCCTCTATTGGTGCAAGGCAAAATCTGCAGCGTTTGAGCTCCAGTATCTATCTTGTCTTGCTCAAACTGCACATGAAAAGCTTGCTGAGCAGGAGCTCCAGAATAAGATGTTTTTTTCATGGTAGGTTATCAGAACTTCAGTTTGTAAAAGTGAGATTGATTAGATTGTCAGTCTACTCCTTCCACCTTTGCTTGTCGCTTGCTTCCTTCTCTGAATGACTGGCTAGCTCAGTTGTAGAAGACAAAGAGGATTCAAGGATTCAAGTGATTAAAAAAAAAAGTCTAAGAAAACTCTTCATTCCACTTCCCTTTCAGCATTCATAAGAATTATGCTATTTCATCTGCAGTAGGTGTTGGATGTTAGAGCTGAAAGTTCTTATTTTAAATAAGACAGTGATGTAGCTTATCAGTGAACTGTTAGTGTTTCATTTTGCAAATGGAGAAAGATGGTGCTCAGAGCTGCATATAGATGGAAGTGTTATTTATGAATAAACAAGTCCCATAACCCTGGTGAGACTGTATATTCACTCACTTCTCTCCTTTTTTTAATAGTAAAACTCTATACCTTTGGCTTATCTTTGTAGACAAATAATTTGGACTTTGAAACAAGAGAAATGAGTTGGCTTTTAACTTTGTTAAATTGTACTCTGACAGAAGAATAGAAGTAACTAAGCATCTGGAGCTTTCTCTGAAGTGCACAGAAGCTGAAACTACTCTTCATGCTGTAGATTTTAACCGTTCTTTTTTTTTTCTTGATGGGGGATGGAAATAAGTTAACCTTGAGATTTATATATTGTACCTGTCAAGTCATTCTGGCATTCCAAAGGTTTACAATAACAAAGATTTTCCATGACATATTTATGTAATGCTTTTACACACGTAATGGTTATATATAAAGTTAAACATTCTGTACGTTTAGCACCAGCTGTTAGACTAGCATTAAACTACTTGAATGAAGTGGCTCTCAGTGTGAAGCCTGTAGAATAAAAGTACGAGTATGAACAGTAAGAGTTGTATTTAGACCTAACTTAAAAACTGCTTAATACCTTTGAAGGAAGAGCATTAAGAAAACATTATAATAGCAGATCATGATTTTATCAATCAGAAGAAAGGGATCATGCTAGGCTACAAACCTCCCTTACAGGAGAAGAATTACAGAATGCCTGCAGCCAAACATTCAGTTTTTTAGACACAAATATTGAAGTGGCTAGGTTTACACTGAATGTACAATAGACTGGATCAGGCAGGAGCCAGTTTAGAATGTGTTCTATTCCTGTGTTCCTATGCAGACTATGCCTGGAGTCATAAGCAGCTGTCAGCAGGCGATTAATGCATGTTAGGGATCTGTTCTAATGTATGAGGATATTCTCCAGAGGAATGTCCTTAGCTATTCAAAGAATTTGCCTACAAAGCTTTTGTGATCACTTCTAGCCACATGCTGTAATATATAGGCTTTGTGCAGTGTCCATCAAATGTACTATTTTTCTGCAGACTTGAAACTCGCCTTTCCATTAGTGGAATACATTATACGTCAGTTGCTTTTTTGTTGTTGTTATTTTCTTTCCTGATTTTTTTTTTTTCTATTGGCAAACAAATGTGGTAGGCTCCCAAAGAGGAGGAATAACTTTATCCATATTTTATGAGAGGTTTTATAGTCGTATAACTGCAGGGGACATAACCTAGCATATGCCTAGTGTTCTGCCATGGCTGAGGATAAATAGCTACAGGAAATGTAGACCAGGCAGCGTTGTCAAAATGAGCTAGTATACATGCTATCCTCCATGCATTTGTAAAGACTCTTTCTGTTATAATCTTGTTGTGCGTATGATTGCCAGTGATAATACTTTAATAAACCTCCAACATCACTGGTTTAAAATTTTGCAAAACATCTCCATAAGTCAAGTATTTGTTCATACCTTTCTTTTATTATCTGGTAGACTCACAAACTACAGATCCCAGAATCACAGAATTGTAGGGCTTTGAAGGGACCTCTGGAGATCAGGTCCAACCCTTCTGCTAAAGCAGGTTCTCTACAGTAAGTTGCACAGGGAAGGTCCAGGCAGATCCTGAATGTCTCCAGAGAGGGAGACTCTACAGCCTCTCTGGGCAGCCTGTTCCAGTAGTCTGTCATCCTTCCAGTAGAGAAATTCTTCTTCATGTTTGTTTGGAATTTCTGATGTTCAAGATTTTGCCTGTTGCCCTTTGTTCTGTCACTGCACACCACAGAAAAGAAGCTGGCCCACCCAGTTGACTCCTGTACTTCAGATATTTATAAACAGTGATGAGATCACCTTGCAGTCTTTTCCTGAGGGCTCCTGGGATGGCTAAGAGTCCCAGGTCTCTCAGCCATTCTTCGTACAGGCGATGATGCAGGCCCCTAAGTCATCTTTGTGCCCTTGCACCAGACTCTCTCTAGGGGATACTCAGTCTTTTTTGAACTGAGGAGCCCAGACCTGGACACAGTACAGTAGATGTAGCCTCACCAGGGCAGAGTGGAGTAGGAGAATCATCCTCCTCAACCTGCTGGCCATGTTCTTTTAAATACACTCCAGAGTGCCATTGGCCTTGGTCACAAGAGCACGCTGCTGGCTCACAGCCAACTTGTTGTCCACAAGGACCTCTGAATCCTTCTCCACAGATGAAATTTTAACCTTTTATAGATAAGAGAGCGATTATAGAAGATATATTATGATGCTTGTTCCATTTCTCAATATATACTGTCTGGGTAGTTTTTGCTCTCCTAAATGTACTGACACTTCTGTAATACTTTGTGTATTTATAACCATTAGGGATGGGTTAATACAATCCCATGCATCTATGGAAATAGTTTGATTCAAAGAAGTTGTCTGTGTGAAAATAATTCAGATGATGTGGCCTTTTATTTCCCTGGTGGACTTTTTGCTGAGGTGGACGTTCATTTGCTCGTGTATGGCATCTTGAAGTCTGCAGACTAATGCTTAAGTATTTCCTGAGAATGCAGAAGATTAGAGGTGCACAATGAGGCTATTTTATAGTTCATAAATACCTGAATGGATATTCAGTGTTAGCTCTTGCTATTCAAGTTAGGAAACAAGTTCTTGGTTAACTTTTTTACACCTACAATTCTGCACCGACTCCCAACAGTGTAAAGGTAGGCGTTAAAAGAAAGATGAGGAAAGAAGAGATGCTACGGAGTAAGATATAAGGTTCTTTTAAATTCTCCTGCGTCACAACCTAAGTAGTGGTTGTGGAAATACTGGAAAGCAGCAAGAATTACTTAAGAGAATTCTTAAGTATGTCATTTTGTAACATGTTCTTATCTTTCACCAGCTCTTAAGATAAGTATACATTGACAGTAAGCCTAATGAAATATTTATTTCATTTGTGCTGACCTTTTGTTGTGGTAGGATTAATAAGCCAGTGTAGGATTATTCTGTTTGCTCAGAGGTAGTATTACTGTCCACAACTACTATCTTTGTGTGTTCATAGAATCATAGAATTACGAAGGTTGGAAAAGACCTTTAAGATTCATTTTTTAACTGTCCATTTGTCACCAGTATTGACTACTAAACCATGTCCCTCAGTACAGTGTCTAAACATTTCTTGAACACCTCCAGTGACGGTGACTCCACCACCTCCCTGGGCAGCCTGTTCCAGTTCCTTATCGGAGAAGTATTTCCTAATGTCCAACCTGAATCTCCCCTGGCACACTTGAGGCCATTCCCTCTAGTCCTATTGCTAGTTACATGGGAGAAAAGACTGTCTCCCACCTCACTACAACCTCCCTTCGAGTAGTTATAGGCAGCGATAAGGTTACCCTTGACCCTCCTCTTCTCCAGACTGAACAGTCCCAGCTCCCTCAGCTGTTCCTGGTAAGCCTTGTGCTCCAGATCCCTCACCATCTATCTTTAGCTATATGCGAGCTTTTGATCTTCTAGTAAAATAACACCATATAAAAGTTAAAAAATGGCATTCTTTAATTTTGTTTAAAAGGGTATTTGCCTTTTTGAAATGCTGTTAGCGTAATGTTTTTGTTTCAAAGTAGCTCCTTTCTCACTGCTCTTCTGAAATTGTGAGGTCTTTCATCCCATGTGCAAATCAGTAAATGGCATTAGTATGAAAAGTGTGAAGAGCAGAGATTAGAGGCTTTCTGCTGGGAGCTGGTGTGGGCAAGGGAACAAGAGTGGCCATGTAAATAGCTAACTGTCATGTTAGCTTTCTATTATTGTCACTTAAAAGTTCATAGATTTTTTTAACTGTGCTGCTTTTTTTTGCAGGGGATGAGTTAACTAAAATGGAGAACGAAGATGAGCAGGGTTGGTGCAAAGGACGTCTGGACAACGGGCAAGTTGGTTTATACCCAGCAAACTATGTAGAACCAATCCAGTGACAAAGGACAAAGTTAATACAGAAGCATTACAAAAGCTCCGCAGGCCTGTACAGTATATATTTAAACCAAGAGGAAGTTGAATGATGTATAGAGTGTATATATTTTCATGAAAAGGAGAGAAAGCTCAATACTGAAATTGTGGTGATTTAAAGACAGAACATAGAACTGATTTCATGTGGTTTTCACAGCTTGTGCACAATGCAAATGAAAGGAGTTAGGCAGAAAAAAATAGTGATAGGAAAAATACTTTCTAAGCTTTTTTCTTTCCACATGGTCTGTTATTGTGACTCTTAAACATTTTTGCATTTTCTATGCTTGTGCCTCATCCTACCCGAGGTATGTGGCTTATGCTGAGTTATGTTTAATCGGTTATTTTAAGTGACCTTCAGTAACTTGCAACTTGAATTTTTAAGATTATTCTAGTTAATTTTCTATTTGTTCTTAGCAATGTCTGAAAGATGCAGTATTTTTTTATTTAAATGCTATGTAGGTAAGCATCTTTTTGTATGCTTGATCATATAATACTTAAATTATGACATAGATTTAGTCAGCAGTTGACTGAATGAAAACTCTTTCCATGTTGTAGTAATCTTTCAATGTTGTCAGCATGACTCAAAGTTGTAAAACAGATATTATATGTAATAACTATCTGTTACAGAAGGTTATTTGTAACAGAGATATCTGCAGGTGTCATGGGTTGGGATTCTGTTATGAATGTTGTTTATATGGTTTGGCACTTAAATGAGTTTTCATTGTAGATCTTAAGTAGCTCTATATAAACAAAGAGATAAATCATACATAAGCCCCAGAATACTATCTGTTTCCAGCACAAGAGTGCAGAAAAAAAAAATCCTAACTGCTAATGATTTTTTTTTGTGATTTGAAATGTTAAATCTGTGAAGACTGATTTTTTTTTTTTGAACAAAGATTGTAAAATAGACTGAAAATGCTTTTTATTAAGAGGCTATCTGTTGTGTATATGTACATACAATTTGATATTCCAAAATATAAAGAGCATGGCTATTAGTTATCAAACCTTTTGATGTGGATAAGATTTAGACTTATAAGAGTTTAAATTATAGGTATATTTAAATCTGCTTTCTTGCCATATTCATTACTGTACTATAGACAAAATATTCTGTGATTAGGTTTTCAGAAGTACAGGAAACACACTAACATACTCAAAATCTGTAATGTGGTTAAATTTGTGGGTCAACATATAAACTAGCCTTAGTCCTTACATGGATTATTGTAGCAGAACACTGTAAAAACTACATTTGTTTGCAATTACAACTCGGTTGTCTGTAACAGTGCCAAATAGTTTGCATTTGTGACATTTAAAACTGGGTTGTAAATTACAACAGATTTGTGTTTAAAAAAAATAAAAATAAAAATCAAGTATCAGGTGAGTAGATATGCTACTTTAGGAATCTACACTGTAATGAAGCTAACAAATCTATTTTGAGGTAATTATTAAACACTGTTGGTAGTTTTGGATTTTGTCATTTGCTTTTCAAATGTATAGATATACGTAGTCATAATGTTCAATGCATTAAAATGTGCAAGCTCTGAAAGTGGATGTATGTATGTCAAGGAAAACATAATTATTCATTCACAAAATGGTTACTAAATCTGTCAGGAATTACTGCCTTGGGTCTCTATATTGTAATATATTTTAGAAAACAATAAAATCTGTTAATCTCTTAAATACACAGAATGCACTTCATCTTGCGATGTATGTAAAAAATACTCTTATAAAGCAAATAGTACACCTGATTGCAATTCAAGATGACAAAGTCTGTATTATCTGAAAGTCATAAAGATGGGCATGCCAGCAGTTGCATTGTGCTGCTTAGGCATAGTGCACAACAGCTCTTAGATGCTGCAGCAAAATGTTTGTGGAAGAAGAGATTGATGTCTTCTGTGGGTACGCTAAATGTACTTACGAGAGCGCTTTCCACGGTATTGTCAAGTTTGATACAGATTGGATAAACTAAGGGGGTTTTTTTGTTTTTGTTTTGTATTTTGAAATATCTGAGTCTCTTCTACCTTCTGTGAGAGAGGTCTTTTTCTTTTTTGGTGTTCTTTATTGCTAACTGCTAGCAGTTAAGATAGTCGTGTTTGTGATTGCTAGCCAGAAGTTTGATCATGTCTCTCACATCTATATTTTTTAATCTAAATAATCCAGTTCTTTATGCTGGGCATCAAATTTAGTAATCATAGAATCTAAGTGGAAGCAACCACAGGAGATCTCTAGTGAGTGACTGATCTAACAGTCAACTCCACATTCAACCTAGGTTGCTCAAGTCTTGAGAGCTGGTCTGGAAAACTTCCAAAGGCTGTTTTCTCACCTCTCTCTTCAAGCAGTTACGATGCTTAATTATCATTATAATGATATTTTATTCCACTGGAATGGACTGCCCAGGGAGGTGGTGGAGTCACCGAGCCTGGGGGTGTTCAAGGAAAGGCTGGATGTTGTGTTGAGGGACATGGTTTAGTGGGAGCTATTGGGAATAGGTGAACGGTTGGACTGGATGATCTTTTAGGTCTTTTCCAACCTTGGTGATTCTGTGATTCTATAATGGTGTTCTTTCTCCCCTGGCTTTACCTGCAGTTGGAACCTGTGTCTTGTTTTGCTGTGCTTGAGCTTGTGCTTGAGCCTGCCAGTGTCTTGGTAGCCTCCAAATTGCTGCTGGGAGGCTGCTTCTGGAACCACAGAATCATTTCTTCTCCAGGCTGAACAAATTTTGTTTCCTCAGCCTCTCCTCACAGAGCAAGTATTGTATCCCCCCCTCAATATGGCAAGTCTTTTTGGGGAAAAGATAGTAGGCTATTTTCTTAGACAATGTGTAAAGACCAGCAATTCCTTATGTGTAGTCCAAAGCTATATTGACGTTCTTCTTCATTTGTTGCCTTTGTTGAGACTTTGAGAACTTGTCACCAAAACTTTAGCACGTTTTTTCCTCAAACTGCTAATTTACTTGCATCTATAATTGTATATTGTTGCCTACAAATTTGGTGTACATATATAGAGTGTAAAAGCAAAGATACACTCTCAATATAACCACATTGTAACTCGTAATATCTTGGTATAACAATCCAATCCATTGCTATTATCTCTTGTTGAGATATTTGTGGAGTTGGCCTGACATGCTAAAACTCTTTTTGCCACAGCTGACCTGAATATTTTTGTTCTGTTGTCTTTCTTCCAATGAAGCCTTTATTCATAACACTTGCAAAGAAGAAAATTAAAGCAGGCTTAAGAATTGGCGATAAGGAGAAACACTGAGCCTTGTAAGGGGAAACCACAGATCTGACATGATCTTGGCGATTAAAAAAAAATATATATATATATATATATATTATTGTAAAACAAAGGAGAAAAGGAAGAAAACAGAAGATGATGTAATGAAGGTTGGATGTCAAGCAGCAATATCTCCTGTTCTCCTAGAGTCGCATGTATTATTTTTAAAAATTAACTCTGAGGTTACATAATCATCCTGTAATCTTTCTCCCACCTTTCTGGTTTGGCAAAGTTAGTCATTTACCTCGGAATATCATACAGCTTGTTAACTGCGGTCACTTTGAAGGAATCTACAGAGCCTGCTCCTGATCTGTGAGAATGAGTTATTCCTGATAATGTAGGATACTTTCACCTACTGGTTTTGTTTGAATTGTAATGTAAAAAGAAATTTCAGAGCATAAGAAAGGTCATGCAGTAATTACTGCAGTAGACAATCACTTCAGTGTATTTGACACCTAACAGTTTGCCTGCTGATGGTAAGCACATATTGCTTTCAGCCTGCCTTACTTCCTTTCTCCTGTTAGAAATACATATTCCTAGGGGATCTGACATCAATCCTCTAGCACAAAGTTTCGAAAATACCGTAGAGGGTTCTTGAACCCTCCATTCAGAGAATACCTTTGTAGACCAGAAGCTCTATTGAGCGCTGTTCACATTTCAGAGGGTGTAACAACCTCTGGTAGTAGGTTGGATGAGATCTGTGCCAGTAGCACATTGTGGGTGCCTTGGGAAGAGCATAGAAATAGGACAGCATGCAACGACGCTTCAGCCACAGTATTTCAAGCTGTCAGTGATCTGTCTCTTTTGTTCTGTGAAACAAGAAAAAGTTATTTTGAACATTCCGTTCATTGCTTTGTCAACAACTGTTGTTCATACAGAAGTAGACGAAGTAGGTCAGAAAAGTGATCCTGTAATTAGTTCCAGAAAGACAACCATTCTTTCTTGTAGCTAATTGTGACCCCATTAGAGAAGTGCAGACTTTTTATTTTATTTTTAATAAAAATTGTATTTTTATTTTGCATTTGACTCTGAAATTTACTTGCTGCTTTATTACCTAGTTAGTATTATACAAGATATTTCTACTAGTTTTTTTTTGTGTGTGTGTGTTTTTTTTTTTTTTACTTCTGTAAATGTAAGTAGTTCAATAAACCACTACCTTCCTATTTACTGTTCTCACAGATAAATATACAAATTACATGTTCAAGCATGAGTCCTCTGGGCAACACACTGGCAACCTCCCACTGTTTGTTATGGTGGTCAGTGACTAATTTGTTAAATGATCATTTCCTTATTTCATGGCAATGAATCTAGGTTTTTATGAGGGAGATTAACAAGAACGTTTTGAAAATCCAGGTTACCTTTACTTCAGCTAGGTCACCTCTCTGCATGACCCATGAAGCTTTAACTCAATGAAGTAGCAACTGTATTAATTGTGAAGTGATTGTGTATTATGATATAGATATTTCTAGGAACCTGAAGCAGAAGATGCAGAAATTTGATTGCCCTGCCAAAGATTAAATGCTATCATGTGGCCAACATAGGTAGGTTTTGCAGTGGGATGCTGCTTCTAAATGCAACTTTGCAAGTCTCTTGCATTCCTAATGCAAACAGGTTTACAGAAGCACAACTGAATATTGTCTATGCAGTGGACTTGTCTGAAAATTATATTATTGTAACTTTTTGGCTTTGTACTGGACAATGCTGTTGAGATGGACTACTTTCAAGATCAAAAAGCTCCAAGAAACCTCACCTATGTGACGAAGTGGTTATGCTTCTTGATGTTATCAGTACAAACAATACATTATTACTAAATAAAAGTATATTATTGATATGTAGAACTGGTTTCAACTGGTTTTTAATGTAGTTTAACACTGCTAAACTTCATTTCCATATTGTGGGACTAGACACTTAGATGCTTTCTGCTCCAAGGAGAAGATTGTCTGGATGGATTATGTAGTCTGGAATGATATGTGTCTGGGACCATGTTGTGTCACTGAGGATATCATTTGCAAGAGAGAGGCTGGCCTTGAATTTCTAGAGCTGCAGCTGCCACGAAGCGATGTATTATTGTTATGCACAACGCAGATGTGAGCAGTAACAAACTTTGCTCAGTGTTTCCAAGTTTCCCAAAGAAAACCAAGCATAAGTAAAAACAATGAGACTGTCTCCAAAATACCTTGAACAAATTGGCGTTCTTTCTCAAGCAGAGAGCAAATGGCAGTACAACTTTCTGTGGATAATGGATCCAGAGAATGAATGCACATTCAGACTTGACAGTTTTTTGTTGCTGTGCTCCCTTTTGACTGGCGTAGTGTTAATATTCTTTGTAATAGCTCATACGGTGCTCTGTTTTGGATGTGTGATGAAAACACTGTTGATAACACACTAATATTGTAATTGATACTGAGCAGTGCTCTTCTGTTTCTCACGCTGCTCTGCCAGGAAGTAGGCTGGAGTGTGCAAGGAGCTGAGAGGGGGCACAGCTAGAACTGCTGACCCAGAGTGACCAAGAGGGATATCCCCCACCACACAGCACAACAATTAAAGCTGAGGGGAAGTTCATCAGGGTTGCTGCATCAGCTTGTAGTGATATAGTTTTATATCAC